TATAGATATTTGGTCTTGTTAATATTTGCATTTCGCCATTCATTCAACCTTTATTTAGACAAGTAAATCCCATTGAGCCTCGAGGACTCATTTACAAGAGAGACCTGATTTCAACAAAGAATGATGAAAACAATGGACAACAGCGACAACAATAAACAGTTATAAAAAGTCATAATTTTTTTTCTTTTTTTTTTTACAAATAGGATGGCTAAAAAAAAGAAAAGTAACAAAAAACAGCTAGATTCTAAGGCGAATGTAGAAAACTAAAAACAGGAACATGTCTGCATTGGTCCCTGCCAGGAGTCCAACAGATTCTTAAAGCCACTTAGAGAGGTCAAGGTCGAGAGCTTCAGATCTTTTTGTAAGATATTCCAGGAAACAGGAGCGGAGTAGGAGAAGGCCCTTTTGCCTAGTTCAGTCCTCACTGAGAGAACACTGCAGGTAATAATGTCCTGAGAGCACACGCTGTAGCTGCAATCACGCAGACATGTAGGAGGAGATGTATGAAGGCAGCAGACCAAGAAGTAGTTTAAAGATGAAAATGTACCAGTGGGAGAGTCTGCGTGAAGTTAATGGTGTCCAGTTAACCAGTGAATACAGGGTGCAATGGTGGGTACGATAATCACAGCCAGTTATGAATCTTAGTGCACCATGATAGACAGCATTCAACATCTGCAGGGTTCTTGTAGGAGCGTTCATGTAAATAATGTCACCGTAATCAATGGAGGGAAGGAATGTCACAGATACAAGGCGTTTCCTAGCATTCAGAGTTAGACAGGATCTGTTTCTGAAAAAGAAACCCAGTTTAACTTTCAGTTTCTTTACCAAGTTTTCCACATGGAGCTTAAAAGAGAGATACGAGTCGACCAAGATACCCAAATATTTATAGGAATCAACAAACTCAATCGGGACATCATTTGAGGATAAAATCAGAGGAAGAACTGCTGGGACCAACTTCCTATTTGAAAAAAGCATCCCTTTGGGTTTGTCAGCATTTAGGACAATTTTGAGGTGGAACAAATCTGTCTGGATGATGTTGAAAGCAGATTTCAAAAGCTGGAAAACCTTATCAACTGTTTTAGACAATAAACAACTGTGTCGTCAGCATAGAAATGTACGGATGCATCAGCGATTTTTTTTACAAACATTACGTATGTAGATTTTTTATAGATTGTAAAGAGGGTGGGTCCTAAGACTGAGCCTTGTGGTAAACCATTGTTGACTGTTAAATAACTGGAGGAAGTACCATTATGTTGAACACATTGCCTCCAGTCTGAGCGATTGTTAGAGAACCAACCAATGGTGTGATCTGAGAAACCAATTTCTGAGAGCTTATGACACAAGATGTTATGATCCACAGTGTCAAAAGATTTAGGCAGGTCTAAGAAAAGTGCAGCACAATAATCCTTAGCATCCAGTGCTTCAACAACATCATTAAGAACCTTCAGTGAAGCATTGGTTGTGCTGTGTTGTTTCCTGAAACCAGATTGATGGCGAGGTAAGATATTAAATGAGTCCAGGTAATTTTTGATTTGAGAGTTTATCAGTTTTTTTAGAACCTTGGCTAAAATGCAGAGTTTAGAGATTGGCCGATAGTTGTTCAGTGAGGTGGGGTCACCTCCCTTCAGTAAAGGAAAAACAAAAGCTGTTTTCCAAGCATCTGGAATGGAGTTTTGTCTTATGGAGAGATTGAAGATGTGGGTCACAGGGACTGTGGTGATAGGAGCAGCCAGCCTTACGAAATAAGGTGGAAGTTCATCTGGACCTGCAGATTTTTTAGGATCAAGACCTTTTAACAGTTTATTAACCTCACTTACTGAGAACGGAGAAAAGGAGAAGGTGTGATTAACTGAGGATTGACTAGTAGGAGGGATTTGATTTGTAGAAGTTTGGTTATTAGAGGAAGTGGCTGATTTTCCATTAGTAACTGTGTCAAATAAAAAACTAGAAGCAACAAAATGTTTGTTGAAACAGTTCAGGATCCCGTGCTTATTTGACACAGGAACAGAGTTAATGAGAAGTTGTGATGAGAGATCAGATGATTGGGGGGCGCCTGAGAGATTTGATGGTTTTCCAGAATCTGTTGGGGTCATTTAGATTTTTGGAGGTCTGAGATAAGAAATAGTTGTGTTTTGCTGCTTTGATGACAGTTGTGCATTTATTCTTCATCTGTCAAAAACTCAACCAATCAATGTCTGAGTCAGATTTTCTCGCTGCAGCCCAAAGATGATCTCTCCTGTGCAGGAGGTCAGGTAGCTCAGGAGTAAACTCATGCCTTTATTCTGAACTGATGAAAAGGAGCATGTTTGTTCACAAAATAAATGAAACTATTATGAAAATAGTTCCAAGCGGAGTTCACGTCATCAGTTAATAGAATACGATGCCAGTCAAAGTGAGACAGATCCCAGAGGAATGACTGTTCACAAAAACATTTCAGATCCCTTTTTTGAATTAATCTGGGCTTAGAAGGTGGAAGTTTAATATCTCTCAGAGTCGCTCACACAATGATCACTCAAAATGTTAGCAAATACGCCTGTACCAGGGAATTTGTGAGGCATATTTGTTAGAAACAGGTCTAAGATGGAGGACTTTTCAGGATGGTTTTTGTTTAGTCTAGTGGGAGAGTCAATGAATTGGGTTAGACTGAGAGACAGGCAACATTCCTTGAATTTATCACAGAGGGGGGTCGACTTATCCCAGTCAATGTTGAAATCTCCTGCCAAAATAGCTCTTTGAATTTTAAATTACCAAGAAATTCCATCAGGGAGGACAGAGCCTCAGGTGTTGCTGAAGGGGGACAATAACAACACACTACAGATAATATCTGGCCTCCATTCAAAGTGATGTTTACAGGTAAGGCATGATGTGGATGAGAGACGAAACGTTTCTACACTTTTTTTTTTTGCTTTGTTTTGTTTTTTGTTTTTTTGAATGTCCAGAGGACCAGATTGAACTTTCTTGGATCTGATGTAAATAGCGACTCCACCCCCCGCCCCCTTTTTTTGACGATCACAGCGGTAGATTTTAAAACCATTGATTACCAGGTCATTGTTCAATACAGATTTGTTGAGCCAGGTTTCAGAGAAGAAGATTACATCTGCCCCAGAAGAACTGATCAGAATTCTCAAGGCACCAAGTTTTCTCAGAAGGCTACATGCAGAAAATTAAGTCCTGACATGTTTTTAAAGTCATTTGGTGTCCTATAAATAGTGGGGGGTCCAGGGTTGGGCTGAATCCCTGAGAGTAGTAACAACATTATTATCAGACATTTTCTTGAGTTTTTCGTGACTGATGTGTAATTACAAGAGTTAACAGTGTGACAATTAGCCCCCATAATAGAACCATGAGAAACATTAATAAAGACGCGATCATTCAGAACCCAAAAACAGTGAAAGTTGCAGTGATGGGCAGATCCTAGTGTATTAACAAGATTCAGTGACTCCAGATAGTCTGAGATCTGAAAATAATGACAATAATATGAATGGTGCAGAAAAGTCTCAGACCATAAAACGTCACAAATCAAATGGGCAAACAAATCCGACGAGGTGGCCCAACTGCAGTTTGAATTGGGCAGAAGGGGGCTCCGGCCCCCCTGTGAAGATGGATGGATGCTCCCATGAGAAACAGAAGCTAGGTCCAGAACCAACAGGCAGAAACAGATAATTTGCAGCAAATAGCAGAGCAAGCTGCCAGAAAATCCTCCTGAAATGAAAGGCATGGTCCTAGCTCGTTTCAGGTCAACGGGGGACAACAGCATGATCCGGAATAAAATTAATTATTTTCCAGGTGAGTTTGGGTGGAGGCCTGCAGGAACTCCAATGCAAACTCTGAACTTTTCTCGAGCACCACGCAGCGCTGCTCCTCCGCTTCTCTGCACGTCACCTCCGCACACGACAGCACGAGAGGCACCCCCAGTGAAAACTACGAGACTGACAGGAGAGGCTGAGGCTGAAGTCGTCACTGGTCCGGTCCGGTTCTGCTCTGGTCCGGTTCCGGCAGAGCTTAAAAACATCAGAGCATCTCCTCCAAGTGAACACAGCGATTCCACAGAGGTGGACAGTCCTTGGTTAAAAGTAACGGGCTGCTCACTGAGGCTGAGACCGGCTCTGTTAAAGACGAAGTCCCCCACAGCCACCTTGGTTCAGTTCTGGTCCTGTTTGGGGGACACAGGTACACTTCCCCCACACCAATTAAGACACCACGAGGCCAGTCCAGAAGAAAACCAGCGAAATACCACCCGGCGATTCTCGTCGGAACCAGGTAGAACCACAAAGGTCCAGATGAGAAGTTCGTTGGGGTCCAGAGAGAGAGAAAAAACACCGGACCTTCGTGTGACGACTCCCCAGCTCGAGGGGTCACCTGGCCAGCAGGGTGCTCTCAGAGTGACCGGTGGGGTGGGAGCGGCCGGTCCTGGACCAAAATATATTTTTTGGACGGTCCCGTCCGGCTTTCTGAGTCACTGAACACCTAATTCGATTGGAAGGAGGACCAACTTTAGTCCGGTTCGAAAAACGGGTCAGTTTGATGATAAAAGACTGCAGAGAAGCCGGAGGGAGCTGCCGTCCATCAGCTTGCCAGAAGTGAAGTGATGTGCCATCATGTGCCATGATGTGAATCATGATAAGGACCCTCCTTTTCTGATTTTAATCTCCTTCAACTTGTGTGAATTCATAAATCTGTAGGTTTTCTTACATCATCAACACATCAGTCTCTTCCCATCATTGACATGAAAGGCGGTGGATGACATCCATTTCTTCTAGGAATGCTAGACCTTTGATTTTAGCTGAATTCATCCTGTCTCCTCTGACCTTGTTTCTTGAGCTAAGTGTGCTCCAATGCCTGGCTCTGAATATTTCTAACAAGGTTGAGTCAGGTCCTCTGCACAGACCTGGCTCAACCTTGTTAGATTTATCTACTTGGATTATTGAGCATGGATCAGGACAAAATGTACTTTAATGTACATTTAAATTTTACATTTACATTCTGATGTAGGAACTTACCTGAATGAACGGGAATAAAAGGCCCACCGCAAAGTTTGACAGCCAGTTCACTGAGCCAGCAATCATGAAGGCAGCAGGTCGGTAGGACTGTTCAAACAGTTCCCCAGTCAGGACAAATGGGATGCCACCTGATGAGGAGAAAAAGTTACATGAACCTTAGATAGAAAGAAAATGTGCTGACAGGACAGATACTTACAGATTTAGTCTGAGAAACAAACAAGCTCCTCTGTAGCGGACTAAGATGTTTTCATTGTTTGCTTCTACTCTGTGCAAAGTTTTAACAATTTTACATTCTCTTTGGGCTTTTAATGTCCTGTCCTATATTTAGTGGGTTTACTTGTTGGCTTTTTGTATAAAATCAAGTTTCACATAAAACATCCACACTGATTTGAACCACTAATCAGAATCAAAATCAGAATAAGCTTTATTATTATTATACCGAAATACAGTGAGAATATGTCCATACAGTCGAAAGATGGGAGGAGTGCCACGATTTAAGACATCTACCAGCAAGCACTTTTATAACACATATGCATTTGATGTTAAGACAGTGAGATTTGTCCATGCACTTTCAGAAAGGCCACCGTTCTGATGACGTTGTCCAGCCAGCAGTTCTGATAAGCCTGCACAGAAGTTCTCTCGGGGGGAAGGGGGGATGGACAAATCTTTTTTCCTAGTTACCTATGTCCCAGGAGAAATTTGATAGTCGGCTCGTATCCGAGGCCAAACGAGGGAGTCGGATTCAGATAAGCCACAATCGTTGATTTTCTTAGGCAGACTGTTTTTTTCTTGTCAACAAATTAACAAGTCTGAATTAAAGAACAAATATCTTTAGTTGGGCAGCACGGTGGCGCAACTGGTAGAGCTGCTGCCTCTCAGCGAGCAGGTCCTTGGTTCAAACCCCGATCCAGGGGCCTTCTGGGTGGAGTTTGCATGTTCTCTCGGTGCATGCGTGGGTTTTCTCCGGGCACTCCGGTTTCCTCCCACAGACCAAAAACATGCATGTTAGGCTGATTGGTAACTCTAAATTGTCCCTAGGTGTGAGTGAGAGAGTGAATGGTTTTTTGTCTCGTTTGTCTCTATGTGGCCCTGTGATGGACTTGCGACCCGTCCAGGGTGTATCCCGCCCCTCGCACAGTGATTGCTGGACATGGGCACCAGCGACCCCCGTGACCCAAAGTGGAATAAGCGGATAAAGAAAATGGATGGATGGATGTTTTGAGTGGTGTTTGAACACTGATGCAGACCCAAACATCCTCTCCTGTTGTAATCTGTGCACTCACGTTTTACTTGTTTAGTGGCAGAATGTTGCTGCTGGAGGAATCCAATTACAGGTGGAGCACTCCAACCGGTGGACTATTTCTGAAAATGACTTATTAATGATGGAAATCTCTTTGATATATGGCCCACACTTCAATCAAGTTATGGACTTTGAAGGTGCTATTAAGATGGTTTGCCAACTATCAATAAACAGCAGAAGAAGACACAGTGCATCGGGAAAGTATTCACAGCGCTTCACTTTGTCCACATTTTGTTACGTTACAGCTTTATTCCAAATTGTTTTATTTAAACTTTTTATTTAACCTTTATTTATACAGTATTCCTGAGCCTTTAGATAATCAACTTCATTCTTATCCATCCAAAGACCACTTTAGGTAGATTCTGTCTTAATCCAGGTAGAACTCAACAACAAATTTTGTTAGATTTTTAGAGTTGTGCTGTTAAACAAAAAGGCTAAGTGTACTTTTGTGTAAAATTTGAAACTGTTTTTGTATCAAATAAAAAATAATAAAAGCTTGGAAAAGATCTTGAGATTTTCAAACAGCTGAACAAAACAAACTGCACTTGTCCACAGGATGGATAAACATTTCTGTGACAAAAATAAAGAGTGTGTTTCTCACTGGATAGTCTTTTCACTGTCATGTCAGGGTTTTAAGGGGAGCTTGATTGAGGTTTGTTTGGAGCTTGGGGTGCAGGCTTTTAATCTTTTTCTTATGTCAGACAGGATTAACTCTGGTTTGAGATGGTGTCAAGGTGACAAGGCCCCAACATCAGGAGCTAAAAACAAGGCTCAACAGCTCACCATCCATCTATCCTCTATTTAAAATAAAATGTCAACGTTTTGTCTGAGAATTATGCAGTTCTGCTCTGTATTTGTGGGAGAAAATAATGTATTATTTACAAATAGATTGTGCTTGCTGTAATAAAATACAACAGTGTGGAGCTAAAATAGCTGCTATCCAACACCCAGCAGTGCAGCTAAAGAAGTAAATGGTTTAATTTTGATGGTTAGATTATTACATTGTCATTGGATTACCTCAGTCAGCTCAGTTGTTTGTATGTAAATGCAGCAGATGAAGCATTGGATACAATGATTTAATAATGGATTATTCAGTCTGCTGGTCGTCCTTGCATTCTGTCACCCAGTTCCATTATTCCCCCCATTCATTTTGTAACTCTCTCTAAATTACAACTTGAGAAAAGAAGAATTATTTGCGTCTCGTAATAAATGTCGATTACGTAGATATTTGTGTGTGTGTATGTGTGTGTGTGTGTGTGTGGGGGGGGGGGTTGTGCATTGGTAAATGTATGATGTATAGTATAAACGCCCACTGAGTGGTCAGTAAGACCAGAAAATCCATTCATCCATTATCTTCACCCACCGCTTCCTTTCTGGGTCACTGAGGTCAGTGGTACGCATGTCTAGCAGTCACTGCACGAGGGGTGGGGGACGACATGTACATAATGCAAGTCCACAACAGGGACACACAGAGACAAACAAGACAAACAACCATTCACTCTCTCACTCACACCTAGGGACAATTTAGAGTTACCAATGAGTCTAACATGCATGTTTTTGGTCTGTGGGAGGAAACCGGAGTACCCGGAGAAAACCCACGCATGCACCGAGAGAACATGCAAACTCCACCCAGAAAGACCCTCAGCCAGGATTCGATCCGGCGACCTGCTGACTGAGAGCTCAAACAACTGTGCCACCATGCCGCCCAAGACCAGAAAAACATTATATAAATGCAGTCTGTTTGATTCTGCTCAGTGTCACGTGGAGCTGGTGTTTCTTTCCAGTCGTCAAGGAGTGAGAGGCAGGCAGCACCCTGGACAGAGCAGCAGTCCAACACACACACCGTTGTTTGGTCATCACTCAATGAAAAGCTGACTTCTTTGCTGAGGCAGCTTTTTAAACAGCTCAGAGTAGACAAACCTTTCTCATTCTTCACAGCCAAACTGTCTAATCATCCATCCATCCATCCATCCATCCATCCATTATCTTCTGCTTATCCAGGGTCAGGTCGCGGGGGTAGCAACCTAATAGGGAGCCCCAGACTTCCCTCACCCCAGCCACTTGGTCCAGCTCCTCTGGGGGAATCCCAAGGTCTTCCCAGGCCAGCCAAGAAACATAGTCCCTCCATCGTGTCCTGGGTCTTCCTCTGGGTCTCCTCCTGGTGGGACGTGTCTGGAACACCTCACCAGGGAGGCGTCCAGAAGACATTCTAACCAGATGCACGAGCCACCTCAACTGGCTCCTCTCGACGTGGAGACGCAGTGGCTCTACTCTAAGTCCCTCCCGGATGGCTGAGATTTTCACCCTATCTCTAAGGGAGAGCCCAGACACCCTGCAGAGAAAACTCATTTTGGCCACTTGTATCTGCAATCTCGTTCTTTTGGTCACAACTGTATAATCAGATTTTTTTATTTTTTTATTATGCTACAAAACATAATGAAATATTTCTATATGCTTGACTCTGTAACTGACTGCTGGATATGGTCAAGAATCAGAAATGTTTACTTAATATGTTGAAAATGGATTATATTATTTATACAAGTTATCTCTTATCTGTATTGTTGTCTGGCTGCTTCTAAATAGCCACCGACCTCTAATATTATTAATGTAGGAGTGACGATATTGTTTGTGTTGTGCAAATTCACTATCAAATGGTATTTCAAAGCACTTTTAGGAAGCTAGAAGATAAAAGCTACTTTGTAGATAAAGGAAGATGGATATTGCACATTTTAAAATGCTAAAGCAATTGGTATGTATTGCTATGGCTGTATTCATGATCTCATTGTTACTGACATAAGATAATAACTGAGTAATGTGTAGGTGATCTGCCTTAATGTTGTTTTTCAAAAACATCACTGATGACATCAGTTGAGGTTATAAAAATTTGAATCTGTGCATCTAGACCTCTCAACAACTTATTTGTTGTCACTGGGTTGTTTTTGTGCTGACAGTTAATGAGCCACAAATCACAGAGGCATTTTGAGCTGAACATGAAAAGGTATGGCTCGCAGAAAGGCTTTCTATCCTCTTGGAATTAATTGCTTGTGTGAATAAACTGGACTGTTATTTGAACAAGATGCTGTTTAACAATTTTGACCAGCTGATTAAAAGTGATTGTGTGTCTTCATGCATGCACAGAGTCAATCAGATTGCACACAGCAACTTTCTGCATAGTAAAGGCTCATCATTTCATTATGACAATATATATTAGCATTTTAGCTTTGATGATTGGTAATAAACAGATTATATGCACCAACCAACCATCCATCCATCCATCCATCCATCCATTCATCCATTCATCCATGAAAATGGAGTCAGTGTCAGGGGGTTAAACAATGAACGGCCCACAAAAACAGATGCATTTCCTATTATCATTATTATACCATGCTATGAAGTATTGCTTCAGATTTTGAAATCAGCCAAAAAAAGCCACAACAATATCAGTTTTATGACTAAATCAATCTGCCTAATGTGTTCAAAGCTTACCTATAAAGATTAGGTCACAAAGTGACAGCAGCTGATAAATTTCTTTCATTTTTCACTCTGTAACAAAGTTCAAAGCCAATATTGTTGTAATTTACACAGTCTCTCTCTGAGCGTTCTTCATACATTGTTAGCATCAATCACATTGGGCATGCTACTAGCCAAAAAAAGTTCCAAGTTAGATGTTGAATCTGTTTCACACAATGTGCAGGAAATAGTGTGTTTGTGTTGTGTGAAAATTTGCTTCTACCATTTTTAATGAACTTCTTTGGACTTTATTGAGTAAAATATGATAAATTGCAGCCCGGCTGGCTCGTTAAATTGAAGTTAGTCTCATAGCCAACA